GGGGGGGGGGGGGGGGGGGGGGGGGGGGGGGGGGGGGTGTACGCATGTAAACGCATGCTGCAGTGGTCAAGACTACTGACCTCGCGTCCCTACAACGCCGGAACGGAGCGATGTGCCGGGTTTTCGCCGGTCCGAGGCTGTGTTGTACGCTGCACAAGGATGAACCAGAAGCTGGTCATTGTCCTTGCGCGCGGGGACCGTATTTGCTTCAACCTCGCCGGCCGCAACATTAGGACCCCCGATACTGACAACAAACGAGTGGCCTTGTTCTATTCTACGCATAGCCACTCGAACTCACAAGGCTGTGCTTCTTACCCGGCAAACAAACACATACGTCAAGTATTAACGTACCCCATGCACGTCGACATTTCCATCGAACACAACAGACGGCGCTGTCTCGCCCGCATGGAGAATCTACGAGCATATGTAAGAAACCCGCCGCCGAATTGACCGCCTCACCAATCGCACAATCGTGTAACATATCGAGAAAAACTCGTCCGCGAGACACCCGCGACCCCTTCACGTGCCCGAAACAAACAAGACCCCAAGAACGTACACAAAAACACCTGCTACTCGGCGAACCGTAGAAAGACAAGTTGGCCACCATCTGGACAACACAATGAAGTCATCGTAAATCTAACTCGAACTCTTTCATCTGGGCAGGAGAGGAGTTCCTTGCCTTTCTGTAAAAAAAGCTGCATGCTTGTTAACCGTTGTTTGCATAAGATTCACAACCCCTTGAACCATTTTTCGAAGCTCGATATCTCGGCAGGAAAAGCAGTGGCGTTGCCGAAAATGGCGGCGTTGGAACCGTCTCGTCGAGAGCTTTCCGAAAAACGAATACTTCAATGTCGGCATCCTATTTGTTCGTGGGGTAATCGAGCTTTGAAAATCGGTCCAGGGGGCGTCATGTCTTGCGCAACCTACGGTATACATACCGAAGACGACGGTTTCGGCGTACCTTGCGGCCTACGTCGTTCTCGAAGAATACGGTGTCATTGGCCCCGCAGGCCGCCAAGCCGTCGAAAGAAGTGTTGCACACGGTGAAGGAGATGGCACCGCCCTCCCCGATCTCGTCATCTGGCCACCAACAACAAAAAGGCAACCATGCGATAAAAACATTGTTGGAGACACGGTTTCAGTCATGATCAATATCCTACAGGAGCCACATGTACGGGTTAACTCTCATGATCAATATCCTCCATGATAATGCCATTTGCGCGGTATCACTTATGATCAATATCTACGTGATGATGCCGTATGTACACATGGAGGGAATGGCACATCATCGGGTAAAGTTGCCACGCCATATGCGAAGAAGAAACTTCATTCAAAGGAAACCATCTCAGTTGCCGGGCGGACACATGGCGACGCGGCCGGCGGAGAAGGGGAGGACAGGGGAGGATGGTCGGGTCGGCGGAGGAACAACCGGGAAGTCAGTGGCCTGTGCCTATACATTGAAAAACGTTGGGTGGTTTGGACATGGTACCCACGACCTTTCTAGCGGCGGCAGAATCTTCGAAACGATTGATATCCAACGACCATGCACGTAGTTCCCCCCCCCTACTTGCGACTCGCTGAATACTTCACGGCGCTTCGCGCTTGGTGAAATGATAGCCTGGTCCTGTGGGAACAACCCTTCGTCTGTCCTATCGAGGACGCGTAGGAAAGGCTCAAGGGATGCAAGACATAAGTACGCCCCCCCCCCACCCTGCAACCTCATGAATGGTGGTCGAGTAGATCATGTTGTGCGAGGTCGAGAACCCGCACTCCGCGCAAGGGGGATGATCGCACCTCGTTGTGTTGAAATGGTCAAGCATCCTCAAGGCAGTTACACAAGTGCTACAACTAACTGTCCCTGCAAGTGACAGCACCACAAAAATAAATTAGGTCATACGCAGCTGTCATCCGTACGCAAGGAAGTAAGCACAAGATGCCGAGCACCCTTAGCAGCATGCAGCGCACCCTTCATGTGATTCCCCGAATACGTCACGGCTCTTCGCGTTTGGTGATGTGAGCGCCTGGTCCGGTGAGCAACCGGCATGCTCCGCCCCGGCTTTGTAGGGATGCGAGGTCAATGGTCTAACGACTACCGCATGCACGACTATGAGTACCCCCCCCGCTGCCCCCCCCCTGCAACCTCACCGTCTTCGCTGTTGGCGCTCCCAGCCGTGTTGTTGTAGAAGACCGAGTCCAGCACCGATATCTGGCCTATCCCCTGGTGCATGCCTCCCCCCTTCTTGCTGGCGAAGCACTTCTCGAACAGGCAGCCGTCGACAAGCACGTCCGTGAACTCCGCCTAATACGAAGAAAAACGATAAAAAACGGGTCAGTACAACTCTCCTCTCAAAAGGTCGTGTGTTGTTGGTGTTCCTCAACACGAGTCGAGGGGCCAGAGGACAAGGAAGTTGTCATGAAGCTGGCGGACTGTTATTCGTCCCGGGGTCCGAATAACGGTGGAGTCATATGCCCCAAATGTCGGGGTGTTCGACTCCCTTCTCCGCTAGTTATTTTTCCACTTTTTTCGTCCTGTTGGGGTGCTCGGCAGAGCGCACTGCTGCCTACGAGGCCTCCAGAGGTTACGCGGACGGTTGTATTGGTATGATGGACACGACCCGCGGGGACCCTCTTGCCTCCCTGACGTCTGCCAATCTATAGTAATAAGCAAACGAGGTTTGAGTCAACCTTTTTTTGCTTTCGTCCTCTGACGAAGCTGCTGCACAGCAAACATACCGCAGGTGACGTAAGATACCACCCCCCCTGAATCGTTTTCCACAGCTCTCACTGCTCCACGAACAACTACAAGTCCAACGATAATACGCTTTCGGAGAGCTCTCGAAGAGACGGTTCCATCTTCGGCACCACCACTCTTTTCTGTTGCGGGGAAATCGAGCTTTGAAAATTAGTTCAGGGGGTGTGTTGTCTTGCGTCAACTACGGTGGCCTCTCGTCTGCACAGCAGTTAGCGCCCGCGTTTTACACGTCCATTTGGGGCCAAGGCTACATTTCTTGCTGCGTGACCACCGTCAAACTAGTGTGTATGGTATAGTGTGGGATTCACGGCTGAGAGTGTGTTTCTTCGCCGATTTTTCTCCAAAATCTGAGCATTTGAGAATTTTAAATTTCTTTACCGCGGGCGCTTACTTGTAACCCTGCCACCAACAACCGCACCCACTCACCCCGATCGCGCCGCCGGCCCCGTCGACGTCCTCGTCCCCCGGCAAAGGCACCTCCCCGGCCTCGCAGCGGCGGAACACGGACCCGCGCACGACCAAGGTCGAACCGTTCGCGAAGATCCCGCCGCCCCAGAAGTCGGCGTAGTTCGCCTCAAACTCGCACCCGGTGACGGTCACGTTGGAGTCGATGGCATGAACGCCTCCTCCGCTGATCACCACGGTGGCAATGGCGGTTTCATTGACGCCGGAGGTGTTTGTGCTGTTGGCAGCGTCGTCGGCGGCGTCCGTGCTGGCGGTGTAGGTGAACGAGCCCGTGGAGTTGGACGTGTAGCCCCCGCGGACCGCTAGGCTGTCGAGGAAGAGCTGTCCGCCATCGACGAAAAAGAGCGGTCCCGTCGGTGTCGTTGTTTCGGCCTCTTCACCCTCTTGCGTACTGGAGGGGAAGGAGGAGGAAGAGTTGCCGCTCGAGGACGTGCCGCTGGTGCTGCTAGTAGTCGTTGTCGAGGCCGCCGCGAAGGTTCCCATCGCGACGGAGGTGAGGCCGTTCGGCAGCGGGGGCAGCCTATTCGACAGCGCTTCCACCCACGCCTGGTCTCTCTCGACGCTGCTGCTTAAGCTACTGCTGCTACTGCTGCCGGTGGTGCTGGTGGTGGTGCTAGAACTGCCACTGCTTCCAGCAGCAGCACTCGAGTCGCCGGCGGTGGCACTGCTGCTCCCGCTACTGGGCGTGGTGGCGTTGCTACCGCTGCTGCTGTTGCCGGGCTCGCCGAAGATGCGCACCGTCGTCCCGCGGCCGATGTAAATCGTCCCTGGAACGGCAACCTCGCCCGACCAGGACACGTTGAACTCCCCGCCCTCGCAATCGAAGAGGCTCAAGAGCTCCTCCCCGTCGCTTTCCGGCGTAACCGTCACCTCCTCCGCCCCCAGCCCCCCCGCCGCCGCGCAAGGCGCCGCCATCACCCCCATCNCCTCGCCGTGGCGCTGGCGGTGTCGCTCCTACGGGCGGCGACGTCGGGTCGGAATCGCCGTTGATCTCTACCTTCCAGAGCCGTTCGTTCCTCGCCCCCCCCCGGGAGTGCTCTCCTCCTCCTCCTCCGCGGAACGTCTTGCGCCTCCGGCTGGCAGGCACGCTGGGTCGTCTGTCCCCTGCTTCGCATCGCTTGTTCTGCTTCCGCCCCTGAAGGCAGGCAACCTCCTCCGCGTTTGTTTCTGGAAACCCTCGAAGGGACCACACTCTTCTCAAGTAGCCTATGGAATTCCAAAAATACCGCAGAAGGCAGGCAAGCCGGGATAGCGTGAAGATGGGGAGAGGGGGGGGGTCAGTGAGTGGAGGGAGGCGGGCGGGGCGGCGAGTTATACGAGGCGGAGGGAGAGGGTGGGGGAGGGGTTAGCAAGATAGAGGGAACGGTGAGGGAGAGGGAACATCGACTCGACTGAAATAAAACCAAAGCCGATATCAAGGCATCCATAGGCTACGCTGCGAGGGGGAGTAGATTGAGAGAGTTAAACGGTGCGGGGCATATCTTGCATGTGGTGTTACTGCATGTGATGTAAGATAGCACACACCCCCTGCACCATCGTTCTAAGCTCGATTTCGAAGATTATGAACAAATCAAACGGTACGTTTCGGCAAGCTCTCGACGAAATGCCCCAAACGCGGTTATTTTCCGCATCGTCACTCTTTAGGTGTGGAGTAAAACGGTCTTTGAAAATCAGTCCAGGGCGTGTGATGCCGTTTGACACCCACGGCGGTGTTTCGCAGGTTCGTACACCCTCGGCGCCGCAAGCAACAACCGCGGGTACACTTCTTGCTCTCCTAATGCACTGCGGCAAGTATAAAATCTCGACGACAGGCATCACGCTACAAGGCATGAGACGCCAAACCTGCCACCGAACCCACGCGCCAGGAAGGAACAAATATCAGTTGCACTGGGAAAATGATATCACCGGTGGAGATTCGCGCGTATGGACCAATGCGCACGGGAACGAGGGGACTGACTCTCAGATTTTTTATTTTTTTTTCTGAATATCACACAAGATTATTGAAATAAAGTTGGTCCCTGCTGTCATACGCAAGGAGGAAGTACGTGGTCACTGCAAGCACCGCCAGCACTGTTGTGGTGGCGTGTCGGGCCATTGCACACGAACGCATCGCTGACATCCATTTGTTGCTCCATCCATGCGCCGTATGCTACAATTGCAATGCACGCGCACCTTTTTAAATAGGTTGCACATCACACAGCAGTATTACCCATAATTTACAAGAGCGACAGCAATATTTCGGGGTAATCAATTTGGTTGCACTGCGAACGAACACGTTACATGCCGCGAGTATACGCGTGGACTATCGCATTTTTAACTTGAATTTCCGAAGAAAGGAACGGTCCCGATGATTTGCGGAGACGAGAACGTGCACAAACGAACGCGCACATTTGTCCACCTCTAACACTTGCATAGAGCGAACAAGGCTTTGAGTTCGGGTCTTTTTTTGTCGGCCATTTCTCGGTAAATTCGGTCACAGTGAAAGGAGACGGTGTGCATAAGCAAGCGGGTCATGTAACTTTTTTGGTTCCAATGGTTGTGTTGGCATGACGAGCATCCGGCAATACATGTACCGAAGAGATGAGTATACGGCAACAGCGAAGAGATGTATCTAGGAAGAGGTACATAAGAGGGGCCTGATCCAGCTCTTACTCTTGGTGCTGCCGGGACCTAGCCGCGTCTTGGTGCTCGTCCCCTCCAACATATCGTACAACTTGAAGCATGAGATGACACTGTTATATGTGCAGCCCAAGCTTGCTGCTGCTGGTGTTGCTACTGCTGTGGTTGGTAACGACTGCTGGTCTGGGGCAACAACTGCGATTGTCCCGCTCGCGTCCAAGGTGCGTGCCCAGAATGGGGCTCTCGGGTGGATGCGAGCGGTTAATGCGGGCCGTGCCGATGATTGCAGAGCTGCTCAACTCGCCTCTGGATGTAATCGAATGAACGACAGTTTGTAGAGGCAGGGCTGCGCGCAAGGTATTCGAAAAAGCAGTAGCAACCGCGGTAGCAGAGTGCACCGCCCATGGGTTTGTTCGTTCGGATTTGAGAAAAAAATGAACACGCGCAATCCCGACAACAACCAACCGCGAGAGAAGTGATGCGGCGCGCGGTGCTACTAGGCAAGTTTGCGGGACGAGGAGGATAGGACCACACCACATGCGACCTGAGGCAGCTCGGGCTGCATGACCCCACAGGGCTTGACCACCAAAAAATGTCTTGGTCGGTTGTTGTTCAAGGCATTGTATGCAAGAGACAACTTTCTCCGTTTTCACTACCAACCCTGCAGCTTGCGCGCCTTCGCTGCTTTTTTGCGTGATGCCGGCCATGCGTACACAAGACCACACGATTCCCACAGGCTGGCCACATAAACTCACATCTGTTCCTCGACCTGTCGAGCTCCCTCCCTCTTAGCGTCCTCGGTGTGGGAGCGCGATCCACTCGCGGCTGGCTGTTTCCGTATGGAGGAAACGGCCTGCTGCTTGTTGTGCGGCTCAATTTTTTTTTGTCCAGGAGGCGGGGATGGGTGATGGGTGGCGAGCCAAATAAATGCTCCTTGTCCACTGGCGGCTAGCCCGACTCCCTCTCTGCGAAACACTGCTCTGTGTGTCTGGACACACACTGCCTTCCTCACTTTCTCTGCTGTTTCGTTTTTCCACAGCAGCAGTAGCAACTAGAGTAAGGCGTGTTATATGCGTTTGTGGTACGCGGCAGAGCAGACTGCTTGCTGCTGGTGTGCTGTGCTGATCTGCTGACCATGGATTACAGTTCGGTCAAGTGTAGTGATCGTTTTCAAATGTATGAGAAAAGATTTCTTTCGTTCGCGGCAATAAGAGCCCCGCCGTCCGCATTATTTACCCCCCTCTGCATGTATGGACGGACGGTAGGCGGAATACATTCAACACGTTGCAGCACCGCAGCACTGAGCAGTCCGGCGGACGAGCACACAACAGCACAGACACACAACGTAGTCTTCACCCGAGAGATGTGCTGTTTGCTTCGACACTACGGTAAGGCAGTGAATGAAGGCTGTCTCGATTAGTGTAGTCTTTGTCGAGATACATGTGACCTCCCTGCTGTAAACCAAGGAGAACAGAGAAGGTTACAAATAATAATGTACATAAGTACATAGGATAGCGTTTGTTCCGCTCGGTGGACGAACTCTCATGCAAAAGAGAGCACATGTCTATGTATGTACGTACTACCCGTTTAAGTAATCTACAGCAGCAGCAGTAGGACCGGACTACTGCTGTATGCAGGAAAGTAGCCTACGAACACAGAGGGACGTGTGCCCGCTCGAGATTATACCATGGTCTGAGGATGCGAGAGAACGCACAGGGGGGGAGAGAGAGAGAAAAGGTCCCTGCAGTTTTCTGATTGGCCAATTTTTTTGAAAGGAATTTTCCTGTGGACGATGGTATAATCTTGATTGATGAGATTGCTCCCCAACCAGGACGGTTCGAACACCAACCGATACCACACAGGAAAGCCCTCGACGTTATATTTCCAAAACTATCGTTCGTTGCATGTCGGCAGTGGTAGCCTCTTGATTGTGGAGAAAACACGCAGCATTTTTTTTTTTTTCTCCCATCATTGGACTCTGTCGTCTGCCCCTCTGGCCCCTATCCTCCACTTCTAGCTAGACGACCCAACCGGGGTCACATAGGAGGGGGGGGCTGGACCCCCTCCTGCGGTTCCTGCCTGAGGTATTTTTATCGCGAGAAGGGCACAGCAATGAAAAACTCTGACTCCCCCGTGCGTTCTCGCGCATCCTCACGGTAATCACAGCAGTCGAAGGGGATGTGTTGAAGTACTCTGACGATAAAATTCTATGGATGTCCATGGATGGATAGCATATACCGTTTCGCCCGTTTCATGGTACGCTGCTGCACGCTGGCGCGTGGTATTTTACGTGTAGTGATGGCAATGGGTGTTTTGTTTATGGCAGCACTCTAAAAATACAGGTAGGTGTCCCGATGTAGTGCCGGTTGAATAGCGCCAAAGTCCGGTATAGTGCCGGTAAAATTTCTTGACACAGACAGGCCTGAATAGTGCCAAACCGGCACTATTCAGGGCTGCCCGCTAAAGTGCCGGTTCAGGCACTATCGAACCCCTCAATAGTGCCGATTCACACCCCACACACAGCCTTTTTTCGCCTCAAGCCTCCTACGCCAACAGGATTCGGAGACCGTTTTCCCTTGGAGCTACAAGTATAGCTCGGTTTCTGTCGGTACACGTGAAGTCTTCAAATGTCACGATTTACCGATCGACTTGGTTCCACCAATAGGCTGGGATTTCAGCAGGGAGGCAAGCGAAAAAGAAGATGGTAATGACGAAGGATGGATATGGAAACTGTAGCCAAGGAAAGCAGTGATGATGCAGGAGGAAAATATGGCATTGAGGGGAACAACAAGAGTTAGTTTCGATCGAGATGACCTTCCTCACAACACACGCCGCAGGGGCGCAGAATCCAAAGATAGATGAAAACCCGAAAAACAGTGGACAAATATTAGTGAAAAAGTGTAGTAAGTAGTGGTGGAAAATAAAATACTTCTTAGGAAGGATGAAAGCACTCCGAACAAACGCGTGTTCAACACTGATCAACAAACAAGGTACTTTCGACAATACATAATCCGAGAGACCGACCCCATTCGAAGGCCTCACCTGGCAACCGCCTTGGGTTCGCATTCGCTCTGACTTATGATGGAATGAGACCCTCCAGATATTGCCTCTCTCCTCCTGCCGCTGACGCCATATGCGAAGGTGTACCGATTCTGGTAAAAGTCGATCGACGGATTCCTTGCGAATCGGGTCCTCCTTAACACTCTCCACTGTAAAGGATATGCACGTTCGGTGCAATCTGTAAGACCCGTGAAGACGAAGTCACTTGTTATTAACTCGTGTGGAACAGCTGCAGTAGCTGTTGC